TCCCCCCTCCTATCAGGAGGAGAAAATCCGTGTGAGCAACATCTCACCAGCATCTGAAGCTGAATCTTTGGCTGTTGTGATACCACCGTAACCAAAGCTGGGGAGCTAGTAGATGAAAAAAATTTTATTATCTACTTTTTCACCTTCTTCTCTTTGCTCTGTTGATAAATCTATCTCCTGGGCTCTTACAAAGGAATTGTTTTATATATAGTAAGATTTTTTTTTTTTTTGAGTTGTTGAAAAGTGGGAGCATCTTCCTCCTGCGGAGCGCTGGTGTACTGAGCAGCCTCGTGTAGCTCAAGTGTTCAGAACTGGAAAGCAGGTCTTTAAATCGTGATCTGCGGTTCTTGTATTGTGCTCCGGCATGTAGCTGATCTGTCAGGCTGCGGAATGGGAGTTGCTAAAAATTAGACTCCAGCAGTTTTGTGCTGAAGGCCTTTTTAAGTAGCTGATGCTGAAGAGTTGTCTTGACAAGCTCTATGTTTAGATTTGTGGTATTAAAGTAGCCAAAGCAGCTTTTCCAGTCAAAAAAAAAAAGAAATGCAGAAAGTAATATTTTAACAAGAAGATGATCTTTGGAGGTTTTTGCAAAATCCGCCATTCTGTAAATTGCTGTGATAGAAGAGCTGGGCGTGTGGGGAGGGTGCCTGAGTGATGAGGACAATCTGAAGTTTCTGTTACTGTGTCCTACATGCTGTCAAAATAAAAAATAAAAAAGCAAATGCGGCTGTATTGAGAGCAGCATCTTCTGTCAGCGCTGACAAAATCTGTACAGGCGTTGGGACCTGCGCATTGGGACCAGGTTTGACAGCTGAAATTGGGACCTGCTGGCATCGTGATAGAGCATATTTGTGCTTTTAGAGTAAGAAATCTTCTTTCGGATAATCCTCATGTATCTTTGAGCAGCACCGTTCTTGCCACAAGAGTGACTTTGGGAATAAGCCATCCCATTTGGCTCCATGGCCTCTTTTGCCACATGCCAAAGTCGTGCAGCCCCCGGCGGGGCAACGCAGCCTGCGCCTTGCTTGATAGCTCAAGGCTTGCACGGCGCTTGCCCTGGCGCTGTGCGGATCTCGCTGCTCTGCTCTGGGGTAGAAGGGGTTATGTTCACCTGGGACGGTGGCTTTCCCCTTGCTGGATCTGTGCCTTAGTCCCCCCTGCTTTTTAACACCTGCAGGTAGTTAGGTTTTTCTCGTGTTGCATAGCCCCTCTTGCTGCGTACGCTGGCGAGGGCTGCATGTCTCTCCCGTGTACAGCTATAACTTTGTATCTCTGAAGGCAAATCCCGTTGCTTAGCTTTGCAGGGGAATGGCAAAAAAACCTCCCAGATATTCATCTGTGTCCACCTCTGCATGCTCTATGTCCACGTTTAACCTCCCTTCAGCTTTTTTGCAGCCTGCCCATGTGCTCCCCCATATGTGCAGTGCTCAGATTATTGCAGAAAGTCGAGAATCGGAAAATCTGCCTGGATCATGTTATGCAATAGTTGAGCTGCTAGTGGTGAATAAGCAAATCCATCCGACCATGAGTGCTTCTGAAGGGCACTTTTTTTTTTTTTTTTTTTTTTTTCTCCCCTGCATGCGGACGGAGGAGATTGCTTGCTTGTTGGCTCAGGGCAGGGTCAGGCGCCTGCCTCGTGTGTGGGTGCTGATTGATGGGAATTGATTTCCCATGCAGATGGGCGCTGAGCGATGGTTTCAGGAGGGTTATCCTTGTGCTTGGGGCAGCTGCCCGTGGCTGGTACAAACTGCTCTGTAACACCGGGGCCAATGAGGCAAGAGCCTGTTCTGCCACTGAACCTGGTGGTTCCCTCTCTACCCCTGGAGCATTTCAAACGGGCGTCCATCCAGGAGGACTGAGGCATGGTGGACGTTGTGGGGGGGAAAGGAGCCGGTAATTCCTACAAATCATAGAATCACAGAATCATAGAATGTTTTGGGTTGGAAGGGACCCCTAGAGGTCATCTAGTCCAACCCCCCCGCAGGAGCAGGCTGAGTCCTCCTGCTACTGCAACTCAGTGAGTGACTGCGTAGTAATGTATTTTGCTGAAATACTAGTGAAATCCTTCCAGTGATGGTCTGACATCTACCCAGTTTCAGCAGATAGAATCATAGAATTGTTTAGGATGGAAAAGCCCTTTAAGATCATCAAGTCCAACCATTGAAAGTCCTGACATATTCTTAATGTCAGGAAAAAGGTTGGGAAGAGGACTCTGGAAATGACTCAGATGAGGCATTTAAATACACGGGACTCATATGTCCTAGGATAGTGTTGTCCTGCTCCCACCTCTTTCCCCCAGGATGGTCACCTGGACTTCGGGGAATTTAGGGTCTTTAAAGCTCTCCTAGGACCTTTGACTACTAATGTGGGTGAAAATGGTGAACATGCTGGGCAAGATTAAACTGTGCCATGGGAAGTGATAGCCGGCAGCAGAAAGGGGGAAAACACAGAGGAATTGAATTTTCTAAGTGTTAATGATGTCTGTTCTCCATCAGCTCTTTAACGAGGTTGGTAGCATGGACAAGCTGGGAAGGATCCCACCTTGCTGCCTGGTGTGAATGCAAGGTGGTAAGTGGCTTGTGGGTGCTGGGGGGAACAGGGAGCCCCTGTGGACCCAGAAGTGGTGTGTTTATTGTCGTCCCGCTTTGGGGACGGATAGGGAGCGGGCAATGGGATGGTGTGGGTGGGGAATGAGGATTGAGGGATGGGTATGCAGCAGCGCTGAATGGCGTGGGGAAGGGGATGGACAAAATAAAAGTAACACCAGTGGAGTAGAGTAAAAGATGGGCAGTAAAAGATGGAAAAATACAACGAGGATCCTCCTGTCCAAAGGTCCTGGCTTCCAGGGGCTGCTGAGCCCTTCCTGGCTGGAGGAGCCTGCGGGTTACAGTATCTATACCTCCAGCTGGAGAACATGCAACCCCCGGGGGTGGGAGTGGGGCCGTGGAGGCCAGCGGCTGCTGTGCTTGCCCTGGTGTTGGCTGGGTTTTGTATGGTGTCGGTGATGCTGTTGGCTGGGTTTTGTATGGTGTCGGTGATGCTGTTGGCTGTTCCTGAGCTGGCTGGTGGGAAACCTTGAGGACTCACTGTCTCAGTGCTTGTTGAGCTATTTTAGGCATCTGCAATGCATCGGTGGGTGTAGAGGCAATTTTGGAACTACTTACGCATTTGTCTTTGTGGCTAAGTGCCTTTAAAACCCTAGTCTTTGTGACCTTTTTTTCTTTTATTAAAAGTGGCTTCAGTTGCTTCTGAAAACACTATGTTAAGCCGTGTTTTAAGAAGTGGCTGTCGTTTTCTGTGTGGCTCTTCTGCAGCTTGCATGCACTGAAAAGACAAAGCATCTCTGCAAGAAGGCAGCTCTTGGCTGGTGCGATACCTGCTGCCGCCTCGCTGAGCAGGCGGTGTGGGACTGGCTGCTCTCTGGGGGCTGCGGCAGCCGGCAAGGGGGAAGAACTAACTAACAAATAAAAAAATGAGGCGATCATTTCAGGTTTGATAAAGCTAAAAAAAAAAACCCGTGGAGAGCTAAGAACATCTGAAGACATGGAAATGCTTTTGTGATGGAGAGAGCAGCAGCTGCTGTGGATGCTGGGGGGGTCATCGCTTTGAGCAACCTGCTGTGCCTTGTCCCTGGTTGGGACCAACAGGACCGGGGTGTGGGGCAGGGGCATGCTCTGCTCTTGTACAGGTGGGGGGACTTTGGCCCCTGGACGGGAAGTCCTGGATGCGGCTGTCAGCAGTGGGTGGTGGTGGGTTAAGACTGTTGCAGGGTGGGTTATCCCTGGTTTATGCACAGCTGGGGTGGAAGGAGAGCTGGTTCTTTGGAAGGGTAGTCCCAGGAAAGCCTTCTGCTCATATGGGTGAGCCTAGGATGCTGGGGTGCACCAACAAGGGCATCGCCAGCAGAGATAAAGGAGTCATCATCCCACTCAGCGCTGGTCAGGCCACACCTGGAATCCTGTGTCCAGTTCTGGTCCCCACTGTACAAAAAAAGATGTGGACATGCTGGAGGGGGTCCAGAGCAGGGCCACCGAGATGATCCAAGGGCTGGGAAGCCTGTCTCAGCCGTATGGGGGTGGGCTGAGGGAGCTGGGTTTGTTCAGCATTGAGCAAAGGAGGCTCAGAGGGGATCTCATCACCATGCACCAGTACCTAAGGGGTGGGTACAAGGAAGATGGAGACTCCCCTTCCACAAGAAGTCCCATGGAGAGGACAAGGGGGAATGGACACGAGTTGCTCCTGGGGAGATTCTGACTGGACATGAGAGGGAATTTTTTCGCCATGAGAACAGTCACCCATTGGAATAATCTCCCCAGGGGAGGGGTTGACTCTGCCACATTGGGCACTCTGAAGCCTCATCTGGAGAGGGTGGTGGGCCATCTTGTCTGGACTGTGCTCTTGCCCAGAAAGGTTGGGCTGGGTGATCCTTGAGGTCCCTTCCAACCTAGGAGTCTATGATTCTAGTGAAGTACTAAGCAATTTTCCAGTGGTAAAGGTGTTTTAACAGCTGAAGAGGAATTGTGCTGCTTTCATTTGCCTTACAAATGGAGATCTTTGCATACAAGATCTTAGCACGCCTGGACAAAAGACAATGATTGAAGGGAGAGGCTCTAAAGAGCCACACAATACTGTGTGCTGGGGGTGGATAGCAGGGAGGGGGGAGAAGAGCAGCAATGCAAATGAGATGAGAAAGACCAGTGGTGTGTGTTTGGTTGGTAATTTTAATTTTAGGGCAGCCAGAAGCAATCAGCACAGCGGGATGAGAAAGCAGCAGCCTAAATGATGGGGGTGATGTTTGCACAAGGGAACAAGCTCTGTCTTAAACGCTGCGGCCTACCCTTGTTTTTCTGTTCGCAGAGCTTGTCTAGCTTTGGTGGCTTTGACATGCTTACTGCCTGCTGGGGATGTTTCCTGCTGCGCAGGAGGGTACATCGGTGGTATTTTGGGGAGAGGAGGGTGCAGGGAGACTGACGCTTGCTTTTCCCTCTGTGCCCCTGCAGGACACAGGCAGAAATGGCCCACACGTGTCGCGGGACCATCAACCTGTCCACGGCTCATATCGATACGGAGGACTCTTGTAACATCGTGCTTTCCAACGGGGGAAGGACGTACCACTTAAAGGCGAACTCCGAAGTGGAGAGGCAGCGTTGGGTCACGGCCCTGGAGCTGGCCAAAGCAAAAGCTATCCGCATGAGGAACAACCAGTCAGGTAGAGTGCAACTGGGTCCTTCTTAAAACCTCCTTGTAAACCAGCTCTTCTGTGCTTGCTAAATTGTGCAGAAACCCTTGCAGATACTATTTCATATACAATTAAAAATAGCTGATGGCTTCCCAGAGACACAAAGGGTTTTAGACAATACTGTGTGTGCCAAACGTCATCTTGTCTGGTTGTGCAGCACTGAGCAGGTCTTTAACGCCCCTGGTAATGACTGTAAATTGTAGAGAGCCAGTAAAAGTGAACTAAGGCTGCTTCTTCTGGGAGGCAGGACATTTGTGCCTTTCTCCTGGAGACTTCAGGTCAGTCTGTGTGGACGGGGGATGCTGTAAGAGGCACTAAGGGTGAGCGGCGCTCCAGGGATCACCAATTCGCCATGCAAAGCCAGAGCTGCATTCTTCTATTCACCCCTACCTTAGGAGAGTTCGGTAGATGAATGATGCGGACATTTAGTTGAGCGGTCTCTCTCCATGCGTATTTCCCCTTCGCCCTCCTACATGCACTATGCTGCGATGGGGTATTTGTTAGTGTACCTTTGGGACAGCAGCGTTACGGACAGCTGTCGGAGCCCCATGCCTGTGCCGCAGCTCCTCCCCAGATTGTCATTCTTACAGCTCCATCATCTAATGTATAGGTTAGGTGCTTAACAAACACAGTATTTCTAAAGAAATATTTCAGTGTTCATAACTCTTCTGGAGTTAATGTTTGGTTTTCTTCCGCAAACAAGCCTGGCTTCAAGTTGCAGAAGACAAAACCCATGAATGTATTAAAAAGCTGGCTATCTCCTCTGGCCTAAAATAAAACCACTCTAGGATCTTATATTGAATGCTGGAAATCAGGCCTTATGCGAGAGAAAAGATGTAGGGAACACCTAATTTTGTAACACTGCTTAAAATGAGAATGTCGCTTCTGAAAATGCCCCGAATATATTTTAGAAGGGGTGTGTGTGAAGGCGTGACCAGGGAAAGCTCTCTGGTTCAGTGCTTATGTAGCATCTTGCTGTCATGGCCCAGGCTTGGGCTCTGGGATGCCTGCAGACGCAGCCCTGTGCTATCGACTGCGGTGGATGTGCATCTGTGGGTAAAGTGTTCGTGAAGCTGAGCTTTGACATCGCCACTGAGGAAGGCTGTGGTTGAGTCAATGCATCAAGAAAAACCTCTCTTTCCCCAGGGGAAACACTGCTGCGTGCACACCAAAACCACAGCTTGCTGCGGCCTGGCTGCAGGGCGCAGCTCTCTGTCTGAGCAGTGGTCGAGGCTGTGTGGATGGAAACTGCTGTCTAATGCTGCTGCCTTATGAAAACACACAGTCGACATAACATTAAGTGTAACCACGTTTTTGGAAGGCAAGGCGTTAATGTTGTCGTCTGCGTACCAGTGGGGCGGTTGCTTGGCATGCTGGCGGCATCGCGCGGGCAGAGCCTGTGCTTAATGTGGTGTTTTGTTGAGAGCAGCAGAATGCCAGAGCGCCAGTGGTTTGACTTGCAGGAGAATAAATCCCCAGTCCTGGACTAATGTGGTCTGACTTCTGTATAATTAGATGTCCCACAAGGTCAGACAGAAGTTGATTACTGTGTGAGCCACTTGCCTGTTTCCCATAATTATTGAAGTACGCTGTGTACTGGGGCACTAGCATCTACGGATTTAATTACATAAAGTATTGTGAACCCTCTGTCCCTTAATATTGCAGCTTGGGAGTGTGTGTGAATGCCGATGGAGAACACAGCCAACTGAGGAGAAGTTGGAAGTTTCTTGGCACGTGTGGTTTGCCTGGCAGAGTGTGATGTTGTGCCAGGTCACGGCTGTAGTCAGCTGGGTGTGACGGCTGTCGGTCCTGGGAACGTTGCTTATCCCGTAGTGGGAAGCGAGTCCTTTGGCTGGGTAGGTGTTTGAAGAAGGATCTCACTTGCGAGAGAGGTCGGTGCGTGCCTTTGCCTTCACCTTTATGAAGGTCAGGCCGTGGGCAGTGCAAGGGCAGGTGTGGAGCGGCGCAGGCAGCCCAGGAGCTGCGGGAGGGTGTTGGCGATGCTGCCTCCGGAGCCATATGCGGTTATTTTGGTGTGTGTCTTTACATAAAAATAGCAAATGCTGTCTTAAGGCTCTGGATGTGCCAACTTCCGAACTCCAGTGAGCTCAGATCGTACTTTCCGGGTAAGGGCAGTGCGGCGGCGGTGATGATTTTGGGTGCAGATGCTCGTTCCTGTGCCGCCTCGCAGTTGTGCTGACTCAGCTGTTTGCAGGGCAATGCTGTGATCCAGGCCAGGGAGCTGATTGGAGATAAAAACCAAAACAAACTCTTGTTTTTCCAGGCTTTTCTGATCTGGACCAAGGGGATAAATCACTCTGTAAATGGGCACTGAATCCTTGTGCTGTGGAGTTAGAGCCGGGGACATTGGTGAATTGTTTCATGCTTTACCATTCACCTGGCTGATGGTGTTTTGTCTGGTAATCTTTTAACTGAGGTAAAGAATGAATGTGCATTACATTTGGCTGTTTTGCTTGAATTGAAATAAAACTCCTAGCGTTGTGTGCCCTGTGAGTGCTGGGCATTGCGCAGAGCCCCCAGATGGGTGTTTACAAGCGGAGGGACGAGGCTCTGGATTTGCTGAAGAGGTCCCGAGGTCCTTCAGGTCTGCTCATGTGGGTGTCCTGGTTTTGGCTGGGATAGAGTTAATTTTCTTCACAGTAGCTAGCATAGTGCTGTGTTTTGGATTTAGTACCAGAAGAATGTTGATAACACTCTGATGTTTTCAGCTGTTGCCAAGTAGTGCTCAGACTACTCAAGGACTTTTTGAGCTTCTCCTGCTCGGCCAGGTGCATAACAAGCTGGGAGTACAGCACAGCTAGGACAGCTAACCCAAACTGACCAAAGGGCTATTCCATACCATATAACGTCATGCTCGGGGGGGTTAGTT